TTACAAAAATAAGTGTGAATTTGGAAAAGAATGAGGTAAATTTACAAAAATTTCTGAAAATTATACAAATTATAATTTTGGATAAATGGAGTAAATTCCTCATGTCCGGAAAAAAGTTTTTATGTCACGAAAAATTTTAGTATGTTGGGAAAAAATTTTTGACCCCTAAAATATTACACTGACCGAAATTATTTTGGCGACGGGGGGAGGAGGGCTGGGGGGAGGTCGCCGAAAGAAAAAAAGTTTCATTTAAAAAAAAAAATTGAGGTAAATTACGAAATTTTGATACTTTCAGGTAGATTTAACCAAACTGAAGCGAGTAACCCCCTGAAGCGAGTCCCTCGGGACGGCCCTGTACGTCAGATAATGACCATGTGTTACTTCACCACAGAGAATCATTACAGTCAGCGATTTTCATAACCCTAACTCAATCAATCGACGGGGAATGTCCCTTAGGACCGTTGTGTGAAGTTTTATGGCATTCTGATGCCAATCGACGCAGTCTTAGGGTTTACACTACGATACGACTGAAGTGGAAGTGAAAATTGAACAAGTGAAAGTTAGCCGCGGTATTCCTATGCTATGCATACAAGGTATTGTACATTATGAATATCAACATATACTCGAGAATAGCTATCAAGTTAAACATGTATGTCAAAATTATCACATGTTCTGGTTTTAAATAAACAATTTTGACAGATTTTGTGCAAGGACAGCTTCGGGTTCCGTTTCGCTTTGGCCGATGCTTGAAATTTCCCAGATGTACACTTACTTACCGGAAGTTGTCGTCTCCTCAGCAGGCTCTTCGACTACGTGCGCGGCTCGACACAAAATGGAAAAAAAATAGGAGGCTAATTTATTACCTCGGTGTCGTACCAACCCGTGCTAATAGAGAGGTTAAGATACCCCGTTTCCGATTTACGTGTACGAGTATCGCAATTTTGTTTAACAATTTTTGCTGATGCCAGCATTTTACCCGTAATTTCCACCCGTTTCCCCGCGGTAAACCAAGGTGTACACGTAAAGACAAACGGTTACGGGTGTTTTCTATTTACTATTTGCGGGCCGTTTAAATAGCAAAAAAACTTCAACATCTTACCTAAATAAATAATGCATTATTATATGCTCGTCAAAGATTTCAACAATTTATGGCGAACCTCGACAGCGAAAGTTACCATTCTCTCATTGGTTTTCACACGCCGGAATATTTTGGATTTTTTAAGTTATACAAGTCGTTCCCCGATTTACGGGTACGGGTAGGTGTATATCACCCGTACCCGTAAACCGAACCGGGGTATCTTAACTTCTCTATTGAGGAAAATATATAGCCCTACGAAATTTGAGGTTTATATTAAAGTGCATTATTGCGTAATGATTCTCGAGCTTTAGCCAATCACATTGTCTGACAGATGCCGATTATATTATAATGAAAATTTAAAAGGTTAAAATTAGGCCCAGTGTTTATAGCTTCATCTTCAGGGATGTTACTTCCAGGTACGTTACTTTGCATTTTGTGAGTTTTGATTTTAACGCAAAATTTAATGTGAAACACTTGATTTCAGATATTTCACAGCACACTCCCTATCACGGCTTTACAGTGACTGGTTACATTATGAATAGATAGATAGAACCGGATTGACGTGAAGCAGACCGAGGTAGCCTTTGAGCTTACAACTGGCGCTTGAGCAGCCGCTATTAGTCCATACCTCATTAATGATCTGCTTCAGACCTATGTGCCTAACCCACCCTGTCAACTTCCCTGTGGGAGAAAACACGTAGTACTCGGAGAAAACCCACAACTTTAGGCAGAACGTTGACTTTTACTCTTTTCACATGAGGACTGGGTTCGAGTCACATTGGGAAGTTCTCACTGAGATTTGAACCTGCGGCCTTAGAGGTGAAAGGCAAGTGCGCTAACTACTTCGCCACGATAAAATGTCTTGAAGTGTTCATTCTCTTCGTGTTCTTTTTGCAAAAAATCTATTATTTTTAACCGAAAAAAACAAAACAAGTTCAAATTATTGATTAGTTTCTGTTGGATGTTGAAATGAATTTCCTCTCCTGATTATGAAATCGGTTTCGTTTTTGTCCTTAATTTTAATTCAATAAACTTGCAGCTACATTGGAAAGGGAAGTAGGGCATGTTTTAAAGGAAAAAAAATCATAAACCTTAAACATCGAAAGTAAACTTCCCTATATATATATTTCTTGATTTCTCATAAGAAATCAAGTCTTCTTATCACTTCAAAGCAAAATTGGTGGAATGTTAATTGTGTTAAACAATTTTCCAAAGATTTGTTTTCGAAAATTGAAATCTTAACTCGTCACACAACTGGCCCCCCAGTGAGCATTAGCGAAGTCCAAAGTTCATGAATAATCGCTGGCGCTTGGCCATAATTAATGGGTGTCATGAGCGGATCTCTTCTGGTCTCAAAAGTATGGTTTGTCATGTGTTTGCCATGAGGAGTGAGATAAACATGACTTCAATTTTCAAAAACAAAAATATTGAAAACCGTTTTATAGGGGCAATAAAGTATAGGGCAAGTTGTTTTCAATGTTTGACTTTTCAAAATGTGTAAGAGAGCAAACTAATTTCAATACTGACTTCAAATTACTTGAAATTAATAATTTGAACTCATTCTGTTTTGTTAATAATATTAGTATAGTAGTCCGTGTGTTGTGACCCGATATCGTTCACTTTCATTAAGCATGTCTTAGAACTGAAATATTTTTACGGGAACTAACACTTTTGAACACGCTGAGTTCAAATCCGAAAAGTTCCCACTCCGTAGACCCGCAGTTTTTTCACAAAATGCTATTTTATCTTCACTAATTTCACAGCAAATTTTTTCATTGTTCAACGATACGGATCGATGACGATACAAGATTATGTCACTCAAATGGGCCAATTTCAATTAACAATTCTTCCTTTTAACAAAAGATCGGTTTTGCTCGAATCATTTTGAGTTATGCAATCTTATGCGTGTTGGACGTAAACAACATATTTTGTCTACAACTTTGAGAAGGTACAGATAACGCTTTCTAAAACCCTCAGTTCTACAGATATCTCTATAAAATCACAAGGACATTAATGTCAAGTCTTTTAGCTATGTCACTGGCGAGAAAAGTAACTAATTTAACGCGATCAAAATATTTAAAACAAAAGTAACGCAAAGCCAACGTAACGGCAAAGAGAACGTTAAAACGAAACATTGTCGAATGCTTGCAGGTAGAAGACTTACGACAGGATCAATCTTAAAAAACCTTAAGCTATAAGAATAAATGTTCACATCAAAGACAAAGATCAGTCACAACGTATAAAATATGCTCTGTAAACTTACCGCGAAGTGGAGAAATGTGTGCATGAGCTGTTTATTCGATGATTTCGACGAATATAGAAGCTCTTTTTCCAATAATACTCGCTTATCGCACAGTATAACACCAACTGATATAATAGTTCAAATGCAATGATAAGTTATCTCTTGAATTACGTCTTGGAAACCGTGTTGGAAATTTCCATGCTGATCCATTACATATAGATTCCCGTTTTATATCTTTGTATAAAACATTTTGATCCCTTGAGACATAGCCCAAAGACTTAGATTTGAGACATAGCCCAAAGACTTGACATTAACGTCCTTTTGATTTTATAGAGATAGTTCCAGAACTAAGAATATTATAAAGAATTATCTGTACCTTCTCAAAGTTGTAGACAAGATATGTTGTTTACGTCCAACACGCATAAGACTACATAACTCAAAATGATTCGAGCGAAACCGGTCTTTTGTTAAAAGGAAGAATGGTTAATAGAAATTGGTCATTTTGAGTGACATAATCGTGTATCGTCATCGATCCGTATCGTTGAACAATGAAAAAATTTGTTGTGAAATTAGTGAAGATAAAATAGCATTTTGTGAACAAACTGCGGGTCTACGGAGTGGGAACTTTTCGGATTTGAACTCAGCGTGTTCGAAAGTGTTAGTTCCCGTAAAAGTATTTCAGTTCTAAGACATGCTTAATGAAAATTGTTTTCTAGGCACTTTTCGAGGTCACAACACACGGACTATAGGTAATCACACGGGAAGGAGTGCAATTAACGGTTAACACTACGAGTGATATTTGAAAAATGTGCCAAAAGTGCACGAGCCGCCGAGGCGAGTGCAATTTGGCACATTTTTCAAATATCACGAGCACTGTTAATCATTAATTGTACGACTTGCCCGTGTGATTATTTATTTATTATATGCATGACAAAATCGCTTTCTTTATATTTCAACTGCATTTTGTCAAGAGTTCTTAATTCCTTTGTAAGCAATTTAGTATAAACAAACTTGGGAAATGATTATAAACTCACAAAGGCACATAACTTAAACTAGAACACAAGATTCAAATTCAAACAACATATTTTAGACTAAGACAATCTTTATAAATTGAATTTCAAACTTACATAGTCACGTTTCGCTGCATCCCGCCAAGATTATTTCTTAAAAATGTTTCCAGGTATTTTCCACAGGCTCTTTTTGCCATACAATGGTTCTTAAACTCATTCTTGTGCCAAAATTCAGTTAAATTCGTCCACATTTGTTAGAAATAATTAGCTAAATTTCGCCGCCGTATTGGATTTTGTTGTTTTGATTTCCCGCTCCCCCCAGCCATCACGAAAATCATTAATTGCATTCCTGGAGAGTGCAATTAATGAAATAATTGCACTCCTCTTAACCAATCAGATTGCAGTAATTTTATCATGTATATAATAAATGACGTTAACAGACTTGCTACAAGTTGCAACAAGATTACTACATGCTGTTCGTCACAAGTTGCTACGAGCTTGTTGTCATCAACTTGTTATAATAACTTGTGTACGTGCAGACGTTATAAGAGTTGTTGGAACAACTTGTTGCGAGTCTGTAAGGTCTGTTGGCCTCATCAACTTTGTTACAAGATGATAACAACTTGTCAACAACTGGGAACAAGCAGTGCGAATACATCTTGTTGATAAGCTGTGAGATTTTTATGCGAGACGTCACGGTAAGCAAGATTAGGTATGCAGGCCCCAAACCGGCCCTAAATCGTATTCATCTCGAATAATTCTGCATGTTAACACTTTTTTTAGCGTTCTCTTTGCCGTGGCTTTTCTTACTCGCTTGTCTTTGCCAGTAACTGCGATGACAATATTTCGTGATCACAACTATTCTAAAGACGTCATATCTATAAATAACAGGTATGTGTAACGTTACATCCGAGGGGTCACTGGGTAGAATGTTGGATTCGAGGAGTGTGTTAGACCCCGTTCGCATGAGTACCGGGACGAATTCAAACCGGAATGAAAATTGAAATTATCAACATGTTTGCATGAGAACAGTACGAAAATCACAAAATTTTTAATTTATTCCCCTTGCCAGGCAATTTTCTTTTTTAGATGGCTTTTGGTAGCATGTGTTGTTCCAATGTCAAGGTTACAGCCGAGACCGGTCTGAAATGTATTTGTGTTTACATTCATTCTGGTCTGAATTCATGCCGGTCTGAAGTCAGTCGGCTCAGTCCAGCAGGCGGAATGACTTGAGACCTGTCTGAGTTATTTTCGTCCCGGTCTCATGTAAACATCTTTAACATATTTGTAACTTCCTTTTATATACTTTTTTTAGATAAACTTTATTTTCATAATAAATAATTACCATTGTTGTAAAGTAACACGCAATCCAGTCGTACTCGGCTGCAATGTGTTTTCTTATTAAATCTATCTATCCATCTATCTATCTATCTATCTATCTATCTATCTATCTATCTATCTATCTATCTATCTATCTATCTATTATAAATAGTACTATGACCGAAACGAAATGGTCCCGGTTTGACTTCGTTCCAGTCTCATGTAAACGGGGCCTACTCCAAAAGATCTCGTACACCTAGAGAAAAATCTCTAAAAATTTCAACAATCCTTAACCATTACTAAAAGTCCCGAAAAATCCCAAATATTCCCTAAAAATCCCACTGATTTTTACACCCCTTGGACTTGCAGTGATGTCAAGTAATGAAGTAAATGTACTTCGTTACTGTACTTGAGTACTATTTTTGAGAAGTGAGCATGTAACAAAGTAAACTTTTTCTGCAGTACTTTTACTTGGAACAAAGTCGTTTCAATAAGTAACGTTTTACTTCGTTATTTTCATTTTGTGGCGTAACTTTCTGACTTTTGTTTAATTTTACGTGATCTATCCGGGATTTATTTTAATTTTGGGTAGGTAATAGGACCTCTACATGCGTCTAGGATCTCTCGTTTGTGGCTTACATTACTTATAAGCATTGTTTATATTTAATGGATTTCTTATATCTTCAACGGGGTCTGGAATGTAGACCATGGCGCGAAATATTTTATATTATAGGTATATTATAGGTGCGCGCATATAATGCGTGTGCTCTTTCGTGTCTTTTGTATTGGGGAATCCCTCCGCTCCCAGCACGCTACAGACAATAGTACATTTACTTTTTGTTTCAGGTATTTTTTAAGGATAGTTTGTATTTTTTACTTAAGTACGTCTTGTACTTTTTACCCTTACTTAAGTCGTTTTATTGTTAGTTACTTTTACTCGAGTACAAATTCAAAATAATTTAGGCACCACTGCCTCGGAGTGATACACCCCTCAGTTCCATTATAGACTACCTACTGTAAAACATCAAATTTTTCCCAGAAACGTCTACTTGGTGTTCTCGTATTTCTGGTTTTTCTTGGGACTTCCCATGGGTTTCTTTTCCGCCATGTTTCGAATCTTGAAGACAATGGCTGTGGGAGCTCTGATGTTACCAAGAATTGATCACAGCTTAATGCCGGATGGTTTTCAACGGCTTGATGGAGGTAACGACCTTTTTTAAGGGATTAGCTGGAGCATGGGCCGTGAGCTTTCCATGGGCCGTGAGCTTGACCGCTGCACCACCGCCCCCCCCCCCACTAAATTTTTCCACCTCCCCACCATTTCCACCAAAATCCGGCCTTGTGATATACAAAAGACGGGCTAGACTAAAGCGTAGGTATCTTATATACATACACTAGATAGCGCATCTCTTTTAGTAGTAAAATTGAAGCCAAGAATATTCCAGCGGTTACCCCCATTTGAATAGATGGCGGCCATGTTGAATTTTCCCACTCGCTAATAGACGCTTAAAAAACAGCAATAACTTTCATCATTTGAATAGTTGGAAAATGTTATGGAATATAGGTTTAACTTAATGTTTAAGTTCCCTGTTTAAGAAATAGAAAACATACGAGTCTTCTCATTTCATGGGAATATCCTGAGTCTGCAATCACGGCTTCAATTTTTGAATTGCAGAATAATTAGATGCACTATCTAGTGTATATAAGATATCTATGGACTAAAGACTATTTCATGTCAGTGGCCATGACTTGGTCTATGCCTTGGGCGTAACACACCAACTGTAAAACTATAATTTTACTGTTTTTAATTATAGGCTGCTGTCTTTTTGGCTAACGTTATTATTTTGTCTTTTTGAAAGGTTTCAATGCGTACATCTGTTATCTTCACGTACAAACAGCTTACAGAAACCCTGTTCTTCGAGTTTTCTGTCAAATATTGAGCGATGAAACACGTAAGTATTGGCAATTTATACAGTATAGCAATGTTAATGGCAAATCTATTAGATTTTCTCACTTTACTATTAATAATTAGGTATTATTAAGTAAACTTGTTCAAATTAACTACGAATTTCTTCTTTCACAAGTTGTCAAGTGTGGCTATCGGTACTTCCAGAAATGGGAAAAAGAGCACGATAGCAACGATGGCCGCAAAAGACATGAAACGCGCAAACGATAGACTTATAGGCTATAGCCGCCAAAGATTGCCACCCCTATGGCACTAATGAACGTTTTTCCTATGTTCAACTTTATCTGTCTTTGCATGCCTGTCAAAAGCAGGCATTGACAGTACTTTTAATTCTTACCTTATTCCATACTTGTTTCATATATTTTGTTGTATTTGCTGTAGTTTTCTGCATATTTGTATTAGTATATTCTGTAGTGCGATCTACATTTTTTGTTTATACTTTGTTTTGACTAAATCGGTTTTGTCACGTGATCGCTTTTATTTTTGTATAAAAGCTCATGTAATTGTCACTTATTTACTGAGACCAGACTGAGACCGAGGGAAACAGTGTGTTTTGTGGACCCGAGACCGTTGATGTTTCCCGAGGCGAAGCCGAGGGAAACATCGACGGTCGAGGGTCCACAAAACACACTGCTTTCCCGAGGTCTCAGTAAATAAGTGTTTTATTATAGTCCAAGAAACAACAAATTAAAGAACAAATGAACGTAAATACATGAAATATTTTATTGGTAAAACCATATATTAAACACTGGCTACACTGCAGTTACTTAAAGCGAAAGTTTTAATTACGTACTAGGCATGTCCAAAGGTCGCATCTTCATGCGATGGCGCACGTGATTTTTTTGTTATTCGCCGGTCGATAACGTTTTGTTTCCCTCTCGCGTTGTTGCGAGGGAGACAGCCTAATTTCGTCACTCTCACGTGATATGCTCTTAACCAATAAAACACTAGAAAAATGCGACTTTGACTATTGATATATAATATTATATACACAAGGTCTGGATATGAGGTATTCTGCAATCTGATTAGTTCTCTACTAGCAGGATATTAGCTCATATCCTGCTAGTAGAGAAAAACAAAATGGCGGCTAAAATTGAATTTCTGATATTTTGCGAACGAGAAAACGGCAAGTTGTTCGCTTTTTATAGCCTTTTCAGGATTAAAAACACAATGAAAAAACTCCCACAAATTGTTTACAGGTTAGGAAATGAATTTTTAAAATGGTTAAACTTAAAATGGTTAAAAATATATATTTTGGAAAAAATAATCGGCCGAAAGAGCGAAGATAAAAACATAAACAAAATAGAAAAATATTGAAAATATCCGAAAAGCAAAGTCTGTGAATTCAGACCTTGTGTATATAATAAAACAGTTATTCCACTCACTCTCGTCGAATATCAGCTCATATTCGACTCGAGTTCGTAGAATAACTGTTAAATATTCCTGACCCCCGCTACTAACTCCACTCGCTCGAAACGTCGAAATTCTCCCTATATTTTTCAGGTAGTTGCGTCCCTACCAACGAAAGCTTGTTAATTTTTCTAAAACCTGCGCATGCGAAGGCGGCGCCATATTGTTTTGGTCGTTACACATTTCGTATTCGTACTTCCACGGCATGACGTCATAACGTTGAATATGATTTTCTTATAGTCAAGTCTATGACGTCACGTCGTTGAATATTATGTAAAACTCCCATATTTGGTCTGCTATTGCGTAGACTTCACAGTTGGCTGTTAGACAATCAGAAACCATGCATGAGTCTTTTAAATAAATAATACTTATTATTGTATCGTAGGACACAACAAGGAACGAAAATGGACATATTCAGCTCAAGCTCGTGCCAGATGGTTCCTTGCCCTTACCTTGGCCCGCAACCCACAACTAGCGTCGAACCGTAAACTTGGTGGTTTTAAAGCAGGAAAAGCACCTCAACCTGATCAAGGTGGTTGTGTCGAACATGGCGACGTCAAAATTGAAGTTGGTCGGTATGGATTAATGCAAGATAAGTGAATGATATACAGTAGTGCAGTAAAAACCCACATAAAAGAACCACCAGTTTTATATCAGGTTGAAGTTCTTATATAATAGTAGCCTGCGCGCATTCTCATGACATCGATCAAACGATGTAAGAGGCTGCGCAACAATGAAGCAAAGCTTGCCCCAAACTTTTCTAGGTTTTCCGGGAAAAAAATTTTTGCGAGAAAATTAATACGTTGATTATGCGGAAACGTTCATATGCATGTCAATGTCAACATGGCGCTTCACAGTCAGGAATGTGGGTTCGACCTCAGTGGGTTCGACGAAGGTTCGACCCTCGACTCACGTAGGTTTTTAGAAACAATTAACATGGCTTGCTTTTTGCTACAAGTAGGTAAGGTAAGGTAAAACTTTATTTAACTACGCTAACCCCTACAGCGAAGGCTGATTTCCAAGGGGGGCGTAGATTTAAATAGTTAAAAAATACAATTGATACAAATTATGGTCATACATTACATTACATTACAGTTAACAACAATTACAATACATTTACAAATACAACTAGTATATAATTATTTACAAATTAAATTAATGTTAGTACTGTTCAATATTTTAGATTAACGTAATTATTTTATTAATTAATTAATTAATTGGCCAGGTGTCGTATACATGAATTAAACGAAGCAAGAGTATGTTTGTTTCTTGCTTCATCAGAAAGGCTGTTCCACAATTTCGCTCCTCTATAACTAAGACTTTTTTTAAGATATTCAGTCTTAGGTTTGGGCAAAAAGAGTTTGGTGGAAGAGCCTCGCATATTATAGTAATAAGAGGAAGACGTCCTTTGAAAAATATTGGTTAGTCGTTTTGGCGCCAGTTCACGAGTTATTTTATACATAAGACTTGCTACGAAATGTGTTCTGCGTTCACTTAAAGGTTTCCATTTCAGTTCGTCTAGAGCAAGTTCAGATTGACCGTGTTCGTTTTTACGACCAGTAATAACTCTAGCTGCCCTATTTTGTAGTTTCTCGAGTCGATCAGAAAGTGTGGCACCAATGGTGTCCCAAACTTCGCAGCAATAATCTAGGTGTGGAAGTATAAGTGCATTATAAGCACAAATTAATGTATTATGATCCACACAAGATTTTAGCTTTCTGATCGCCCCAATTCCGGATGAAATCTTCTTAGCAATTTTATCAATATGCTTATCCCACAATAGAAACTCGTCAATATGAACTCCAAGCGCTTTTGTTTCTTTGACCTTTTTAATTGGTGTATCACCAACAAATACATTTGGAGCAGCAAGTAAATTATTTATGTTGTACCGAGATCCTATTAGTAGATACTCAGTTTTGACTAGATTAAGAGATAATCTATTTGCAGAGATAATCTATTTGCAGAAGTGAATTTTGGCGGGATGTATACATGCGACGGATCATGTAGAAATATTTGTTTGTCAGTGCGGCATATCGGGACAACAAAATACTCTAATTTGTGACTCCGTTTCGCGTAATTGCCAACGACAATAGGATCTGTTGCTAAAAGCAACTTGCTTTTGATAGTAATGGACCTTTCCCCTTATAACTAAAATTTCGATCTAGACAAAAATTTCATTACAGCTTGAAAGAGCATCACAAAATTAGTAATATTCCAAAGTTTTGTTGCAAAATCGTGTAAAATGCGGATAATATAGCCTTGCGAAGTTTGCCGTTTTTCAGTCATTTTGTATTACAAACGGGAAATTGACATCCGATTCGGGTGTTGGGGCTGCAATTTCCCGTTTGTAATCTAAAATGACTGAAAATTGCAAACTTCGCAAGGCTCTATTTTCCTCATTTTACAACATTTCGCAACGAAACTTTGGAATATTACTAATTTTGTGATGCTCTTTCAAGCTGTGATGAAATATTTGTCTAGACTTGCCTAGATCAAAATTTTGGTTATAAGGGGAAAGGTCCATTCCCAACATTCAGACTGGTTGTTCTTAGAAGACCCACTGGTTCTTAATCCACGGGTTTTTACTGTATGCTGGGTCTGTTTACTTCTCTTTACTTTTTATGTATTTTATATTTGAATATCGGAATGGAAAGTCCACTTGAAGACAAATGGCTAAATTCTTATCCTATTTAAAGGCTAAGGAAATCTTGACATTCTGAACATGTTGATATTTTGGTAAACGTGATACCTTTTCTATATTATAGCATAAAATGTGCAACTAGTTTATCCACTTTTAATTTCAAGTACGGTGACTCAATAGAGGTAGCTTAAATACCTATATTTGTTAACAAGCTGGGAGATCTGTTGCCACCGAATGGCCCGGCAAATGAGATACCTTGCCGAAAATACCTTAAGTTGTTTCGTTCTTGGGATATTTAACATTTATACGCAAATTATTCTCAATATGACGTCATATTGTATGACTTTCTGAAAAAAATTCAAGATCTTGCGATTGTCGTGAATTGCCTCCTGTATTCACAACAACTCACTAAAAGTAGAGATTTCAAACGCTATTATGAAAAATATATTTATTCTCGCCCCGTCTCAACACAATCACACAAAGTCCTTGCAGTGTACAAACCGCATGCTTTTTTGATTGACACTTGCGCATTAAATAACTTCAGGTATGCCATAAACTGTTAAATATTAAATATTGACAATCTCCAACACTCTCCCCCCATTTATCTACTATTTGAGATAAATGTAGCCTGCGAACAGGCTCACTGGGAGAAAGGTGAGCCTGCACGGAACCATGCGTTTTATTCAATCATCCCCTTTTCGCATCTGCTAAACGCTAACCAATCAGCGTCGACTGCGATAAATAAACTGTCAACTGTCAAATTGACGCAAGGCGTGTACATTGTGCAACATGAACAATAATACAAAACATTAGCCGCACAATATATTACTCCGAAAGGCATAGAATTCAAATATTAAATAGATATCAATACACATACAAATATAAAGCCGAATAAAATACTACCATTGGCTTTGAATGTACAGTAATACTTGTACTATGTGCGACTGAAAGAACAATGTTCTGAATATTTTGAAGCTATTACTATAAAAATACGGTCAGATAGATTGGGATTTGGAATACCGAATACGTTTAAACAGGGGCGGATCTAGGAATTTTCGCACGTTAGTCAAATTTTTTCTGAGTTGCTGCCATCCGGGGGGGGGGGAGCGGGGCTTTTACTTTCTGTCTGCTGGGGTTGTAGCATTATAAGTTATTCGTTGTTCGCCTAACAGCAGACGCGATTGTATTGTCACGATATTGTAATGTCACACAATTGTCTGGAATTTTGTTTTACACATCGGCATGTTCTTTTAATAAATAAATTTTTGACCCTCCTGTCAACAAAACGTCATATTATATAACAAACGAATTGTCGGAAACTGTTAATAATCAATAATTTAGTATAAAATAATGTTTTGTTCACACGTGGGACGCGCAAGTCAGAACTGTAATGAATCGGAAAGTTCCAGAATACACTGCTTGTTGCTATTGTATAGTGGGAGGTTTTTTAGTAAGTGATTTTGCGAAATTAGGATGGTTCGTAGCGTTGAATAAAAGCTAAAAGAAACTATTGTGTTAAGGATTATCTCGGGGGCAAATCTCAACAAGATTTCACACGAACAATCACAAAATCCGCTTCTAGATATCGTATTACAACACAGCATAACACCCGCCCTTGCAATCTCAAAATTTCCAGATTCTGTCGCTACTAATACATCAATTAAATATTGCCCAATATAAATATAAACGAACACAAAAGCGGTTTATACTTTATAGCTTTAACTATGGTTATTGCCTTATTGGTTGCACACAGTTGATTTAAGCAGTCAAAACCGCTTTTATATCTTATTACCGCCGTCAATAAGCACACTTTAAGCAGGTTTTAAAGCTTACTTAGTACCAGACTATGAACTAAAATATAAATATAATTTCCTAACCTTATCGTTGTACATTTCTATTGTGGTGGCCGAGCACCGAATTGAAATCTCTAGCGAGACTGGTTCTGGTGATATAGTTGTGGATAGACGTGGTATGAATAGCGGCTAAAAGCTCTTCGATATATCGATCTTGTATTGGAGTATTGATATGCTTTAAAAGATCTGTGTTCACCATTTCTACACTGGACAGTCTCGTATAAACTTTATATTGCGGGAACCACTGAGTATTTTTTATATTGTTGTAGTACTCGTACGTCAATTTAATCTTCGCGGTGAATAAACTTTCCGAATGAGTCAGATGAGGCAAAAAATATGAGCCAATGAGAGAAGAGAATTTGGTCTTTTTCGACCAATCAGAATTTCAAATATTGCGCAAATAAGGCAGACCCCCACGAAGATGAGGCAAAAAAGTTGAACCAATGAGAGAGGAGAATTCTCCTTCAATCAGCCAATCAGATACCTCATAAATGACGTAAATAAGGCAGACCCCCACGAAGATGAGGCAAAACCATTCTCGACCAATCAAATGGCTAGAATCTGCCTCAAGTAAGTCAAGGCCACTGAGCTTACAACCGCAGAATGAAACTTGATAACTGGACTATTGTGAATATTAATTACATTTGCTATCACTGCAGGAAGGATTACAACTGGAGTACTGGACAATTTTATGAATTAGTAATTATCTGCGCAATTTTTACGCTAGTCGCGCGACTTATTTGACAACCCCTAGATCCGCCCCTAGCTAAATTTGCACTCGCACTCGCTAAATTTACATTCGCACTCGCTAAATTTACATTCGCACTCGCTAAATTTGCATTCGCACTCGCTAAATTTTACATTCGCACTCGCTAAATTTTACATTTGCACTCGCTAAATTTGCATTCGCAGTCGCTTAAATGTGTATTCATTCGCACTCGCTAAATTTGTATTCACCAATGTGAAGTACGCATGAGATTCAACATGACATTCATCATGACATTCGATGACATTCAATCACTCAGAAGTAAAGGTAGGTAGGTAGGCTGCCTCGTACCCAGGCGCTTACATGAAGTATTCAGGTAGGCATCCGACGCGCGAAGGGGCTGTTGGGAAGGGTGCGTGCTGGGGAGCACTCTTCCCATCAGCCCCTTCGCCATCTCTCCCCACTACAATACTTCATGTAAACACGTCATATGGACATCACTGTTTTTTTACAAAGAGGCGCCTGGGTACGAGGCAGGGTAGGTAGGTAAAACTTTATTTAAACACGCTTGCCTTGTCAACATGGTGCTGATTTCCACGAGGGGCGTCACACAAATAATACAAGGAAAACAGACCTTATTCATAAATCGTGACGAGGCCTCGTATCCTAGGATACGGAAACCAAACGCGGGAAAACAAGCGAAAACTGCTTGACAAGCCAAATTCAGATGCTATTGTGTCGACTTTAGCGGCTTGTTTCTTGTTGCTTTTTGCGATTTATAACGATTATATAATGAGTATATTATAAAAGCGACCGGTTTTTATCCCGTTTTTGTGTGGAAAAAATGACAACGTAGCGATGGTGTTTATCCAGAAGCGAAAAACAGTATTTTACTGAGATTTTAACGTTCAATATAAAGGTTTATTCCGTGAAAAATCAAGACAACTATGGAATGGAAGTATAATTTTTCGAATTTGACATAAATATGAAAGAAAATAACAGTAAAAAATCACAAGAGAACGTCAAATGTTATTGATTCGTACGGAAAAATATGAACTAAGGCTGTGGCTCGATAACATTCTGCAAGCAGCTTACAAGTTTAAAAAATGAAGGCTACATTACCTGAGTGAGTTGTAATCCTATTTCTTCAACAATAGTTTCATATTTCTTACGATTTTGGTGTTGTATAGACGTTTTGTAGCCTTGTTGGTTGTTTGTTTTGGCCACACAAACTACGACAATAATACAAAGTCAAAGGTTTCCTTTTTTTAGACTCCAGCATCTTTTGCTTTAAAATATCATGTTTTATTTTTTTTCTTGCGGTCCGAAGTCATATTTTACGCTTTTCTGCAATCTGATTGGCTACGTGAGCGGTCCGTATATTTTCTCAGAAGTATTTTTTTCAACTTTCAAGCTCAGTTTTATAGATATATTTTCGAAAAAAGCCGTAAATATTCACGAAAAAATTAGCTGCCATAGCCAACAGCAAAAAAAACATTTTGTCAATTTTCCCGCGTTTTTCCCCGTTTCCTAGGATACGAGGCCTCATCACGATTTATGAATAAGGTCTATAATCAAGTTAGAAAGTTACAATTTAAAAATATTATATACAACTATTTACAAAAGTTAGATTAGCACACATATAGCACAGAATCATCCTCTAGCTTGCACCTATCTCGTTTTTGAAGCAGCCGAGAGTATCCGCCGATTTAGTTGCAGACGAAAGGTCATTCCATAACATCCACAATGCATTGCTTCTCATTAATATTCGGAATTGAACTTTGCGAGTCTTTGAGAGATGTTTGTCGAAAAATTGTGGTTTTCTATCGCGAATTTTCACTCGGAAAATTTTGATTTTTGGAAGGTACGTTTTTATAATTGTTTTATTTGTGACCTTAATTGCACGATTTTTGTTGCATGCCCATATATGGGCATGCAACTTTCATATAGCTCTAAATTTCGTGTCGTGTACGTACGACGTACGTTGTGCGTTGTACCAGCGGTGGTAAATCACGTGATAGATTAGTAAAATACGACAAATACCGAGTTTTTCCGACGAGCATTTTCATGTGATGACAGTGATGTGAATTGTGAAAGTTGAAACAATAAATATGCACGCTTTTGTTCACGGCTTTCGTCGAAAATTTACGTAAATTAGCGCCTTAGAAAAATAGATCGAGGTAGGTAAAGCTTTGCTGTTTTTAATTTAGCTTATATTCTTTTATTACTCGCTGGGGCACCCTGTGCCCCAGACGAGTATAGGTTTCGGCTCTGTTCTTGGATCGGCAATCTCCAATCGTCGATAGCTACAAAATAGAATATTAACTAGAAGTTACTATCGCAAGGGAAGTGCTGCCTCAACACCCAAGTCCTGGGGGTTGATTATACCAATAAACTTCATTTACTTAAATTGCCTTATACACAGGGTATGTATGAATTTATTTTGTTTAAGAAATATCGAAATTACAACATGCAATAATTACTATATATACTATAAAGTGTAGTTCGGATTTCCATATTTAAATGTATGCT